GTATGTTATAATCGGATGATCGAACGATCACATGTAGAAATCGAATGATTGTATGTTGAAATTGCATGATCGCACGATCACATGTAGAAATCGAATGATCGTGTGTTATACTAGTAATCGGATGATCGAACGATCACATGTAGAAATCGAATAATTCTATGTTGAAATTGCATGATCACATGTAGAAATCGAATGATTGTATGTTAAAATTGCATGATCTCTTGTAGAAATCGAATGATTGTATGCTGAATCGAATGATCACATGTAGAAATCGAATGATTGTATGTTGAAATTGCACGATCGCTTGTGGAAATCGAATGATCGTATGTTGAAATCGAATGACCGCACGATCACATGTAGAAATCGAATGATTGTATGTTGAAATTACAGGATCGCTTGTGGAAATCGAATGATTGTATGCTGAAATCGAATAATTGCACGTAGAAAAATCGAATAATTGCACATCGAAATCGAATGATGGCATGTAGAAATCGAAAGATTGTATGTTGAAATTGAATGATCGCTTGTAGAAATCGTATGATGGCATGGAGAAATCGAAAGATTGTATGTTGAAATTGAATGATCGCTTGTAGAAATCGAATGATGGCATGGAGAAATCGAAAGATTGTATGTTGAAATTGAATGATCGCTTGTAGAAATTGTATGATGGCATGGAGAAATTGAAAGATTGTATGTTGAAATTGAATGATCGCTTGTAGAAATCGAACGATGGCATGGAGAAATCGAAAGATTGTATGTTGAAATTGAATGATCGCTTGTAGAAATCGAATGATGGCATAGAGAAATTGTATAGAGATTGTATGTTGAAATTGAATGATCACTTGTAGAAATCGAATGATTGTATGCTGAAATCGAATGATCAAACGTAGAAATCGAATGATGGCACGTAAAAACCGAATGATGGCATGTAGAAATCGAATGATGGCATATAGAAATCGAATGATGGCATGTAGAAATCGAATGATGGCATGTAGAAATCGAATGATGGCATGTAGAAATCGAATGATGGCATGTAGAAATCGAAAGACCGTATGTTAAAATCGAATTATCACATAAATTGAATGGTAGCATTGAATAGAAAGTGAATAGAAATTACAAATGCAATAATTTTGTATGGATAATAACCACATAATTTTAATGTGAAATATTCGCTTAATATGTACATTTGATATCTGAT